CAGGGGTAGGTGGAGTGTGTGTGTGTACCCCCCACACCTAGCATGGCTCGCTGTCCTCTGCAGTGGCACTTGGACCATTTACAGCCCGAGAGAAGAACAAGGGAGCTCGACAGCCTATGCTGGGAGCCTGCTGGCTTTATAGCTCAAGCTGCCCCGGGCTCCTACACTAAGCTCCAGAGGTGTCCCAGATTCAAGTCTGCCCGGTGGCGGAGTGGGGCAGGTAGGGTGGAGACAGGAAGCGGTGGGAGCACTGTCCTCTGCAGTGGCACTTGGACCATTTACAGCCCGAGAGAAGAACAAGGGAGCTCGACAGCCTATGCTGGGAGCCTGCTGGCTTTATAGCTCAAGCTGCCCCGGGCTCCTACACTAAGCTCCAGAGGTGTCCCAGATTCAAGTCTGCCCGGTGGCGGAGTGGGGCAGGTAGGGTGGAGACAGGAAGCGGTGGGAGCAGGCAGGGCAGGAGTCAATGCCACGGAGCAGCAGGAACAGATCTAGTGCTAGGCTGTAAGGCTTTGGGCCCTAAGTAGCTTGAGGCAGCACCCTATTATCTTTTTAGTGTGGGGATCACCCCCCCTCCTCCAAATTATTCCTGCTTGGGGACCCTTAGTGGGCTAATACAGCCTCCTAATATGGATGTGGGGCATGACCGGGGAGTAGGCAATGCCAGGGAGCATTAGGAGCAGGTAGGCAGAGGGGACAGCGTGAGGAACTGTTAGGGGCCAGTCAGTAGCACTATTGGCAGCTCTGTGAATAATTCTGTGGCTTGAGTTATCGCTTGTTAAATGTTATCTCAGCTCATGGCTTTGGCCGTCCTGATTGCTTCATCTCCCTCATCTCTTGCCCCAAATCCAGGGACTTCACAAATAAATAGCAGATGGATGTCCTTTTTGTGCTTGTGGAATCTTTACCCACACTTCCTCCTAATTCCTCTCTCCTGCCTGCTCTCCAATCCAAACCACTATCGGTCCCACGTGGCAGAGCTGCGCAATGAATTATAAAAACACTGTTTACTTGGAAAACAAAATGTCATCCGGGGACATTTCAGGCCTTTTCTGTTTCATGCCCTGTGATTCTGGGTCTGTTTTTGCCTTTGAAAAGTTGCAAGTTCACAGCACTTTCCTTTCTTTCCACTTGACATTCACGTCCGTGCTTGTTTCTCTGTTTCCCGTTTGCTACGCAGCTGTGACTTGGCATAATGGTTGCTGTAGTGCGGGAACTCCGTCCCAGTGGCCTTTCTGTTCTCCTGGGAATTGGGGATGTAAGAGTGTAGCTGTTTAAACGGGTAACCGATAAATATGAGCTCATCGGTTACCCACACAATTGCATGTGGATACTAGAGGCAGCAGCCCGGGGCAGCAGCCTACTCCCCAGGAGCGGGGCAGGAGCCTGTATGTAATCATGAACGGTAACCGATAAGCCCAGGCTTATTGGTTAACTGTTTACACGAATATACGTTCACATCCCTGCTTCTGACAGTGGCCAATGCCAGGTGCTCCAGAGAGAGGGAACACAACAGGCAATCATTGAATGATTCATCCTGCCACCCATTCCCTGGCCTTTCGTACACAGAGGTGAGGGACGTGCAGAACATGGTGCTGGATCTCTGGCCACATAGGCTAATAGCCACTGCGGGACCTATTCTCCATGAACTTATCTAGTTCTTTTTTTGAATTCTATTACAGTTTTGGCCTTTATAACATCATCTGGCAAGGAGTTCCACAGGTTGACTGGAAAAAATATTTTCTTTTGTTTATTTGCGATCTACTGGCTATTTAATTTCATGGAGTGACTCCTAGTTTTTGTGTTATTTGAAGAAGTAAACAACATTTCCTTTTTCAGTTTTTCCACATCAATCAGGATTTGAGAGACCGCTGTCATATCCCCTTAATCCTCTCTTTTCCAAACTGAAAAGTCCCTGCCTTTTTACTCTCTACTCCTATGGAATGTGTTCATTACGCTTAATAACTTCTGTTGCTCTTCTTTGTACCTTTTCCCAAATCCAATATATTTTTTTTTCACCTGGAGTGATCAAATCTGAAATATGTGGGTGTACCATGGATTTATGTAGCAGCAATATGATACTTTCTGTCCGTTTCCTAATGAGTCCCAGTTTTCTGTTAGTTTTTTTGATTGTCACTAGGCTTGGAGCAGCTATGATCAGACAGCTGTCCCTAATGACTCAGAGATCTCGTTATTGATGGGTTTGGCTACTTTAGACTCCATCATTGTGTATGCGTCGTTGGGATTATATGTTGCCGTGTGCGTTACTTTGCATTTCTCAACACTGGGCGACGCCACGTGATGGAATTCAATCGCTCAGTTTTGTGACATCCCTTTGTAGCTCTTTGCAGTCTGCTTTGGATAGGGGTGACCTTCCCGCCCATTTTCACTGGGACAGTCCCGTCTTTAAGGGCTGTTCCCAGCACTGCAACGTTTTTAAAAAGGGCACCTTGTCCCGTATTTCCCCTGCAGCATTTCTCAACACTGGGCGACGCCACGTGATGGAATTCAATCGCTCAGTTTTGTGACATCCCTTTGTAGCTCTTTGCAGTCTGCTTTGGATAGGGGTGACCTTCCCGCCCATTTTCACTGGGACAGTCCCGTCTTTAAGGGCTGTTCCCAGCACTGCAACGTTTTTAAAAAGGGCACCTTGTCCCGTATTTCCCCTGCAGCAAGGGGAGG